GAAAAAAATAAAACTGATTACTAATTTATTGGATACTTCAAGAAAATTTTACTTCAGTGTTTTCCGTAACATATTTGATCTCCATGCCAACTTTATATACATGTGTTTGTTTTCAAGGGACCTATAGTTTATACAGTTGCTGTTCAGTTACAATATTATCAAAAAAGTAATACAAATAGCACTTTTCAGTCAAGGACAATAGGTACATGTGTATCTGTGTGGTGCATGTATTTTTAAGTATTTATGGAGTGTAAGAGTGTAATAGTAGCTCTGTATAGTAACAGTCATTGTGTGTTTTTTAACCTTTCTAAGATTTCATTCCCGTACAAACAGCTCTGTGAAATTATTATGGCCAAAATACCAATGTTTGTCTTTCACCCAATTTATCTGCACTTCATAAAAGTGCTTAAATATTACTTCATTATCCTTAAATTTGCTTTGCAGTATGTGAAGTCTATGAACTAATTCTTAAATATTTATGAAGTATTTTTGATTTTTGCAGGTGTTTCAGGCCCTTAGGAATATTCAACTTAATTTGGAACAGGATTCTCTATTTTTTGCATGATTTTTCATTTTTGAAAACCAAGTTACAGTAAATCCGTCTATGTATAATCCAGTTATACTGACATCAGTTTTTGTATCTTTCTACAAAAGTTTGGTTAGGCATGAGAGTTTTCATAGTTCATAATATCCTTGTTGTAATGCTAGGAGAATTGCTTTACAGATAATAGATACCATTGTGAATATGTTATGTATCCCCTCTGTAAAATTCTATTTTATAGAATGCTTGTGTAGGATCAGCAGTTCCAATTTATAAAAAAGAGCTCATAAGGAATACCCGTAAGAGTAGATTTTAAACATTCTTACCACAAAAAAAGATTATGTGAGGTAATACATATGTTAGTTAGCTTGATTTTGCCATTTCACAATGTACACTTATTTCAAAACATCATGTTGTACAGCATAAATATATACATTTTAAATTCGTCAATTAAAAAAAAAAACTAACGAAGAAAAGAGGAATGACCTTCCTTCAAAGGTCAGAGGGTGAAATAGGATGAAAGCCATAAATTGATTATTCACCAGAAGCAATTATCCTTATCTGGAAGGACAGATGAAGACAGTCATTTTACATTATAGCTTACTTGGGCTCAGGAAAAAAGTATATAAAATTTTCCAGAATTTTATAAGAAAAAATAAAGGTAAAAAGTACTATAATGTATCTCTCAATAAGAACAATATTTCTAAAAATAATCTTAAAAAAAGGAATATCCTTTCTTGACTTATTGTTGTTACTGTTGAAGAAAGATATTTTACGGTGTCAATTTTTATGAGAGTTGTCTGTTTCTTAAAAAAAGCAGTGTAAGATTGATATTTTAAAATACTTTTATAGTATGTGCATGGTGGTATGATAGTGGTGATGTGCTGTCCATTGATAGTTGAACAAGATCGAACTTAAATCTTTTATACTGGCATAATGTTAGTCTTAGGTGGTTTAAGTTTCTCCTTTAGCAGATTTGTGCCTATAATATTATTTGCCTCAGAATGAGTGGAGCAGGCATTTGGCTGATAAATGATTCCGTGGGGTGGGATGCTATTAAAGCCTGTTCCTCAAAGAAGGGTCTGTGGACCAGCATCAGCATTATTTGGAAGGTTGTTAGTTGTACAGTCTTAGCCAGCTCCCCAATTACTCCATTAGAAATTGCATTTAAACAAATTCTCCATATGATTCGTATGCACATTAATGTTTGAAAAGCCCTCCAACAGATGTCATAAGATTTGGCATCTGGATAAGGAACAAAAACTTCTCTACCCGAGGTTGCAAGGATATAAGGATTTAGAAATTATTATTATTATTTTATTGAAATATAGTTGATCGTACATATCTGTGGGGTACAGGCTTGGATATCAATACCTGTGTGCAATATGTGATGCTTAAATCAGGATAATTAGTATATTCAACATTATACAATGTAATCATTTTTTGTGGCCCTGTACCAATTTTTCCTTTATCCCCTTTCCTCTTCCCCTTTCCCACCTCTGGTAACCTCAGTTCTGTTCTCTTCTTTTGAAAGTTCAACATGTTATTGTGATTGTTTTATCTTTCTTTTTTTATTTATTTGTTTACTTTTTTAGCTGCCACTTACGAGTGAGGACATATAGTATTTCTCTTTCTGTGCCTGGCTTATTTCACTTAACCTGACTTTCTCTAAGTTCATCCATGTTGCTGTGAGTGGTAGAATTTCATTCCTTTTTATGGCAGAATAGTATTTCATTGTGTAAATATACCACATTTTCCTTATCCAGTCGTCCAGCAAAAGACATTAAGTTGGTTCCAACTCTTGGCTGTTGTAAATTGAGCTGCAATAGACATGGGAGTGCAGGTATCCCTTTGATATGAAGATTTCCATTCCTTTGAGTATGTACCCAGCAGTGGAATTGCTGGATCATATGGCAGTTCTATCTGTAGTTGTTTATTTATTTGAATAATAAAGCAAATGTTCACCTTAAAAATACATTTGTCTATAGGATTATTCATCTTTTCTGGAATAAAATGTGTTTAAAGCATTTCTGTACTTTCAACTTTAATCTTATCTACCAAAGAAGATAAACTTTGCTTTATCCAACCTGAATGACCTGGTTATTGCCAAGTGTTTCCTAGGATAATGAGAGCCTGTGGATTTGCATGAAATCAAATCTTGAGAAAAGGAGGTGGGAGACTGGCTGACACTGGAATGGCATGGCATGGATGAGTATAATCTAGTATTGGACTTGTTTTGTAATACCAGGGATGCAGACATCCTGTGTTCCAAAGAATAAGTATGTACTGAATGTCTTCTGTGTGCAAAGTGATCCAGAGTGGATCAGACTTTTCCTGATGGAGTTTATGATCACACTAGGAACTATCCTTGAAAGTTAGGCACGTGCCACCAGCAGTACTGTGTTATTCTGGGTATGGCCATGTGGATCCATTGGCTAGACTTACCTCAGCTGTGGTTAAAGAAAGATTAGGAGTAGAGCACTCATTTCAGCCAGTTAAACTTTTTCTATCAAACTGAATACTGTCCTAATACATCAGCATATTTAAGGGAAGTGAGAATTTAGAGCAAGAAATGTAAATGTCTAGATGTAAGTACCTTCTTCTAACACACTTAATAGAAAATATGTCATGGAATACTCTATCCCTGAACTTTTCAATTTTCTTTGAGGAAATTTTGTTTGCATTCTGCTTCAAGTATTTAAAAACTCTCTTCAATACTGCTCAACTTCTGAGATGGCCCCAGGAGCTCATTGGCTTTTCTGGTGATTGTCTTATTGCGTAACGTTAATTCTTAGCCTATGATCTCTCTGTAAAAGTGAAGTCTTGCTCAGTAGTATGAGCAGTAAACCACAGAGGTGCTGCTCTGGTTGATCCCGTGGTTTTGCCTGGCTCTTTTGTGCATTCTGGGGATGGGAGGATAAGGCCAGGGTCTGGCAGTACCCTAGCCTAAGAACACCACCATGACTGCTTTTAACCAAAAGATCAACACTAATCCTCCTTTTTAATATTTAAGGATGATATTTTTTTCATGAAACTTTTTTCCCCTTAATTGTTATTTTTGTCCAGTAATGTAAAGTTTATCTTGCACAGATGACCTCAAAACCTTGGAGGTAGGAGACTGCTCATAGTCACTAAATGGAAATGCTTTAAATGTGTGGGACCTGGGACAAGACACAGAAATACAAAGATGCCTCTCAGGAACATACAGTTTTCTGCCGTACAGTTGGCAAGCATATTACTGATATAGCAGAGAAAGGAGCTTGCCATAAGGTTCTCATAAGCAAGGAATTGTAAGAGAAAATAATAGCATTGTATACTTCAAGATTGTAAAAGCCATTCTCTTAATTTATTGTGCTGAAGGTATTAGTTTTATTTATTTATTTATTGGCAGCTGGTTGGCATGGGGATTTGAACCTATGAACTCATGGGTATATGAGCCCTTGACCTTGGTGTTACAAGGCAGCACTCTAACCACTGAGCTAATCGGCCAGCTCAGTATTGCTTACTTTTAGAAGTTTGTCTGTAATTAAAAAAAAAAAATGCTAGTAACATTTATTGACTCACTTATGTCAAAGATCTTTTCCTTTACAAATTGTCAGTCATGAACTTAATTCTTGATATTAAGGAGGCATTGATGTATACGGTAATATACATTAAATTGTTATTTTTTCTTGATTAGAAAGGCATGTTAGTCTTATTATTAGAGGAAAGCAAGAAAATGTTATTATAGAAAAGCAATAAGACCCCTTTTGTTCAGGATTTTTCAGTGGAAAATATGTTTTGACTTAAACAGGATTTATTGATTGATTTTTAGCTTAAACCAACACACATTTATTCTACCACAGTTTTGGATGTTAGAAGTCCAAAGATGTTGGCAGGGCCATGCTCTTTCTGAAGGTTCTAGCATAGAATCAGTTCCATGCCTTTCTCTTAGCTTTGAGTGTTTGCAACTTATGGTGTTCCTTGGTTTATAGAGGTGCAGCTCTCCAACCTCTGCCTCAGTTATAACATGGCATTCTCCCTGTGTGTTTATTTCTCTGTCTCTTCTTTTCTTATATGGATACCAATCATGTTGGATTTTTCTCTATTATACTCAGTTGGAAGTGTAGATATTTCTTTTAATAACATTCTTCTTTTCTAATATATGATTTTAATGTTAAATATTTCCTTCTAGGGACTGTGTTCTCATATGCCGCATGTTTTGATAAGTTATATTTTTATTTTGATTCATTCACAATACTTTTGAATTTCTCTTGACCCATGTGCTGTTTAGAAATATGTTAAACAGGATTTAAATGGCAACTTGATAATAGATAATTTTAGGAGATTGCTCAGAGTTCTTAAGGATTAGTTTGAATTTTGTTTGCATCATGATTGTACTGAAAAGTGCTATGTAGTCATATCAGTTTGTCCCCGGCATGCCTAGAGAATACTCACACCATTTTTGCTCTACAGGAAAATAACTCAGGCACTTTGGACACGGTGGGTGCTGTGGTTGTGGACCAAGAAGGAAACGTTGCTGCTGCTGTCTCCAGTGGAGGCTTGGCCTTGAAACATCCAGGGAGAGTTGGGCAGGTAAACAGTTACAGGGCTTTCAAACTCGTTTTCAAAGTAAAACGTGGAATTTTCTAGTTCATAATTTATAAACTGGTAGGGACTTTTTTTTTTCTTTAGAAAAATGAATATCATTTTAAAAACCCCCATTTATCTAGTATAAATCATCAGCCAAATACCTTTTCAGGATTCTTTCTAAAAATTAAAAAGCCTATCTCATAGTAACAGGGTTCTTTTCTGATCTTTACAATTGGTAATCCTAGTTTTACTACTTCCAGCAGGCTAGGCACTAGGTATTTAGTAGACGTTTAATAAATGTGTGTCAATTTCTATTTTCTCTCTTTGTAAATTTTGCTGTCTTTAGAATTATGCACTACGTGACTATATTGCTGCTTACTATTTAGGTGAGAAATGATTTTTGAGTAAATTTTTAATTTCCATTCAAGGAACAGTAACATTTTTACCTTCTACATCTGTCCTCAGGTTAAGCATTTCAGCCATTTTACAGAATAACCAATATTTCAGGTCACTGGCCCGTGATCCACTCAAGACATCTAGAAATGAGGAAGGTGTAGTTTATGGGAAACTCGCTTATTCCCAGTTCACTTGCACATCCTTTTCACCCTCCCCCACCATCTCCAATCTTTAGTTTTATACAGAGAATGGAATTTAACAATCCATTTGATCTAGTAAGCCTTCTGAGTGTAAATAAATTTGGCACATTACTTATGGACTTAATAAATATTTGTTGAGTGAAAAAATGAATGGACCCTCTGATGGAGTCTGTTAAAGTAGTTGCAAAGAGTGTGTTTAAACTCAGTATTTGAATCCTATCTTACATATGGAGCATGGCTTGGTGTGCTTTGTCACTCATCTTTGAAGGAGAGTTGGTGTCACAGTTGCTTTGGTCTTGGTGGTTAACGAATGTTTGGAGCCGGGTGATCTGATTCATGGAGATATCTTTGCAAAGCTTCAAGTGATATTCCCTGGTCTGCCCTTTATTGTGGGCATGCCACTTACAGTCTGATTCTGGGGGGAAGGGGAAGGAAAGAATAAATAATTTTGTGCTACTCTTTGCCTGTCGTACAAGGGGATTTATGGGGAATGATTTACTCAACGCATGTACAATGCTTTGAACTCATAATAAAAGCCTTTATCTGGTTATGGTATTTTTCCACATTATAAAACCTGTGTATTTGTCAGTTTGGAATAAGAAAATCAAGCTTGGCGTATCAGATTTGGATGCCCTGGTGGAGAAAGAGAGAGAAAAGCCAGCTGAGTTGTCTTCGTTGCATTGTAATTCCTATGACTTTCTCACTGTTTTCTGTTTGTTTTGGTTAGCAAAATCTCAAAAACAGAAGCAAGGACAGTCTGGACAGTGTTAGCAGGATATTACATCTAACGGTCTTGAAGCCATTCTACCACTACACATGATACTGTCCTGGAAAAAGAAATACTTCTGTAAAATTTATGTGTTGATTTGCCCGACTTGGGTAGTTTATGAATACACATCTTGTGAACACACAGCTGAAAAATCAGGAAAGAGTGTGGGAGAGAGGAGGAAAGGTACTGGGGATTCTATTGCTTGGATAGAGGAGATATAATAAGTCTGGAAGTATGTAAAAATCAGATGGGAGGTAAAGAACAATTCTTGACAATCAGGACAGAATGAAACAAAATACGAAAGCAAGTTGTATCAAAGACTAATTATTTTTAAAAATTATGCTGAAATTAGATACTTTTAAATGCATTTTTTTAAAAAAATTATTTTATTTATTGAATCAAAATCGATTATACATATTTTGGGGGTTGAACACTGAGATATGTTGATCAAATCAATATTACTAGCATATGTATTGTTACAAATCGTAATTATTCTTTATGCCCCTTGTCCAGTCTCTCTTCTTTCCCCATTCCCTCCCCCTCCCCCCTCTAACTACCCTAGATTTCTTCTCTCCTTTTGAAAGAATCATGGTTACTCTGTTAATTTGTTGCCTAGATGATCTGTCCAATGCTGAGAGATGTGATCGGGTCCCCCAGTGTTATCATAGAGCAGATGCTGCTTCTGTCACTCTGAAATGGGCTTTGTGGAAAGAGACATCCTCTTCTTTTCTTTGACTCTGCTGGTGACTCTCCTTGTGTGAACGCACTCCAGTGGTTGGTGGACCATTTACATGGTGCTTGTGGTGTCTAGTCGCTTTTGCAGCAGCCATGGTTATTGTGGAGGCTGCAGGGGGCCACCTACATGGAGGTGCTGTTTCTGGTATGCTCCCTGGCACTGGCGGTATGCCTGGTTCTGGGATGTGTCTGGTCCCCTTCTCCATGTCTCTGGTCCCTGGGCAGGCCCCAAGTCACTGGTGCCATGTGCCAGGTTGTGGGAGGTGTGTCCAGTACCCTTCTGCATGCCTCCGGTCACCAGGCGAGACCCAAGGAGCTGGCTTGGTGTGCCTGGTTTGGGGAACGGGGTCCAGTACCTTTCGTCATGCCCCAGGTCCCTGGGCAGGCCTCAAGGTACTGGCACGGTGTGCTTGGTTGAGGGAGGGCGGTCTGGTTCCCTTTTCCATGCCCCGGGTCTCTGGGTGGGCCCCGAGGCACTGGTGTGGCATGCCTTGTTGTGGGAGGAGGGTCCAGTTCCCGTCTCCATGCCACGGGTGGGCCCTGAGGCACTGGCATGGTGTGCCTGGTTGTGGGAGGGCAGTCCAGTCCCCTTCTCCATGCCCCGGGTCCCTGGGTGGGCCCCGAGGCACTGGCATGGTGTGCCTGGTTGTGGGAGAGAGGTCCAGTCCCCTTCTCCATGCCTTGGGTCCCTGGGCAGGCCCCGAGGTGCTGGCATAGTGTGCCTGGTTGTTGAAGGAAGGTCTGGTCCCTGGCTCCATACCTCGGGTCATTGGGTAGGACCCAAGGTGCTGGCTAGGTGTGCCTGGTTGTGGGTGAGAGGTCTGGTCCCCTTCTCCATGCCTTGGGTCCCTGGGAAGGCCACAAGGTGCGGGCATAGTGTGCCTGGTTGTGGGAGAGAGGTCCGGTCCCCTTCTCCTTGCCTCAGGTTACTGGGCAGGCCCCGAGGTGCTGGTGTGGTGTGTCTGGTTGTGGGAGGAGGGTCTGGTCCCCTTCTCTATGCCTTGGGTCCCCATGCTGGCCCCGAAGCACTGGCACAGTTTGCCTGGAAGTGGGAGTGGGGTCCAGCCCCCGGATCCAAGCCTCTGGTTCCTAGGAAGGCCCAAAGGTGCTGGTGGTGTGCCTGGGCTGGAACTAATTTTTTGTCATTTGATTCTAACACAGGGGAACTTCCTGTGGGAACCAGTACTTGAGTGTGTGGTTGTTTAAATTGCTGCTTTGCTGCTGTTTCCCTAGGGAAGGCTTTTTGTGCAGCTCAGGGTTTAATGGTTGATCTTATAGGTACTTCTGGCTCTCCAGAGACCCGGTGGATCTGTGTTCTGTAGAATCTCTGATCTGGGCCTGAGTTTTTTCATCAAACTGCACCCCATGAAATTCTATATTCCTGACCAGCCTCCTCTGAGTGGTCCTGTGCTGATTGGGGGGCAGGTTGTCTGTGCTTGCTGTGTCCCAGTGTTCTAGGTGTTCCCATCTTGCCCACCGCCCGTGCTCCAAACACTTCCCATGGGACTGGCCCGGTGCCGTCCCTTGCAATGACTCGCTAGCCTCTGAGTGGCTCCCTTTTTCTGGTTGTTCTGGCTCCTCACTGCTGCATGGGTCCATGGGAACTCTGTTAGTGGTCTTGCTGTCTGGGGGTCCGCCAAGGCCCTCTTCTCCCCTTCCGCCTCCAAGTAACTCCATCTGAAGGGCACAGCTGCGGCTTCTGCCGGGTCCTGCTCCATGTGCTCATCAGCTCGAGCCTTAAGGTGACTGCGGCCCTAAACACTCAGAGCAGCTTTTTCTTTCTCTCATCGTAGTTTCTCTCACCTTCATGAACTCCGTAGGTCTCTCCTCCTCTTCCCTGAAGAGGCCCTAGCTTGGCTGATGTTACATTTTTATAGTTGTAAATTGGTTGATTTGTGGGAGAGAGTGACGCTGGGAACTGTTTGTTCTGCCATCTCGACCTGAAGTTCCTTAAATGTATTTTGAATGTACAAATGAACTATTTAAATACTTTAGCATATCACCCTGCTCTAGATATGTTATAGTAGTACAGATAGTGAAATAGCAATTTGAATTTCAAGTTATTAAGCTTCTTTAGCTTAGTGTAATAATTAGAATTTACAAGTTATACACGAGAAGGGAATTATTGTATTTCACTCCTACCCTTCACTCCACCCACACACAAATAGGCCTTTGAGTTTAGAGGTTGAGATTACGGACTTTGGATTCAGGTAAACCTTTACTCTAATCCCACCTTCCCACTTACCATTCCCCTTACTTTGAATAAATTACTCAACATCTTTAAGCTCCACAACTGTAAAATGGGGATAACTGTCTACATGACAAAGTTCTTTTTTTTTTTTTTTCCTTTTTGTCTTTTTTCGTGACCGGTAACGGGATCGCAACCCTCAGTGTCGCGCCCGCACCGTGACCGGCAACAGGATCGCAACCCTCAGTGTCGCGCCCGCACCGCGCTCAACCAGTGAGCAGACCAGTCTCTATATGGGATCCAAACCCTCAGCGGGAGCACGGCTGTGCTCCCAAGCACCGCACTCTACCGAGTGCGCCACCGGGCCGACCCAAAGTTCTAGAAGATTAAGTGACATAATGCATTTAAATTGCATATCGTAGTCCTAGTAATAACGGCTGTGGTTACCATTTATTAAGCACTTGCATTGTGCAACAGGTATGTTAATTCACTGGTCCAAAACAACTCTGTGAGGTGGGTGTTTTTATTATCCTCATTTTATAGAAGAGGAAACTATGGCATGGAGATCATTAAATTATAATAATATCATCATTTATGTGACCTACTTTTTCTACATGATAATACCTTTAATAAAATTTTAATAAAATCTTGTTACCAAAAAGAAGGAAGCTTTTTTGTTTTTAAAAACCCAGTTCTGTTTGTTGTATTTTACCCAAAGCAGTGGTTAAGTGAGGGACAACCTCTGATTCTTTTTTTTTTTTTTTTAATCTTACCTATCACTTTCTCAGCCTAACCAATTTCAGAGAAGTAACATTCTTCAGAAGGTTAAGAACTAACTTTAGGTCGTGAAATTATGGGAGGGTATCATAAAGGGAATTTGCTTAGAGAGAAGAAACAAAGGGTAAGCATAAATGTTCTTTCCTAGAAAACATTTCCTAGAAAACACTGGCTTTCTAAGAGGTGTTCTTAGGGCCTTATTTACTATTTTTTGAGTGCAGGCTCCTGGTCAAAGTAATTGTAGGGATTAGATGGATGATGGATGAATGTCCAGAGTTTCCATTGAAGGAAGAATGGGCCCTTCCATTAAGGTCTTGTGTTTTCTGAGACTTCGGCTGACCCAGCACCTGCCTCAGGGAGTATTAGTTGAATGGCTTATCTCACAAGTCTGCCAGTTTTATTCTGAAATCCATGTGTTAAATCACTTCTGACTAAATTGCTTCTGAAGGGCTTTCAGATTTCACACCGACCTAACAGTGTTAGAAAACGAAGGCACATATTTTAGAAGCATGGTGTTTTCAAAGGCAGTAACAGATTTCCCATTGTCTGCCATATTGGGGGTGTCCTGTTCACTTTGTTCTACTTTTAAGAGGGCTATTGCAAGTGACAACTAGAGAAGGCAACTATGGGTCATATGAACATGGAAGACTTTGTCTCTATTTCTCAAGGAGGGTAATTAGAGAAGAGGGGTAGATCTGTGCATCTCAAACTCTGTGTGTAACAGTTCACAAATTTAGGATTCTTTGAGTGAGGAAAGAGGTCTAGAATAGCTGTTTCAAAAATTTAGGGCTGACCCAGTTAGTTAGAGCATGGCGCTTAACAACACCAAGGTCCGGGGTTTGATCTCTGTACTGACCAGCTGCCAAAAAAAAAAAAATAATAATAATAATTAAAAAAAAAAAAAAATAATAATAATAATTAAAAAAAAAAAAAAATAATAATAATAATTAAAAAAAAAAACGAAGGTCTTTATGAAGAGGTTAAAGTATTTCCAGAGAGCAGAATCAGGACTAGTAGGTAGAAGTTAAAATAAAGCAGATATTTGCTCACATTAAGGAAAAACTTTTCACTACCAATGAAAGTGTCCAAATGTGGAATATGTTCCCACATGAGGTAGTGAGATTCTCAGTATCAGAAGTGCCTGGGATATTTCATGGAGATTCCTGCTCTTGGTAGAATGTTGGAGCAAATGAATTCTAAGATCCTTGTAAAAAATAATGGAATATCATAGAAAGCTGAAGTCTGTTTTGTCACTATTCCTAGTCTTAGCCTATTCCCCAGTCCTCAGAAGTGAACTCCTAGAAAAACAACAGTACTGTTTTATGGGAGTATCTTTTTCCTCCATCAATGGTAGTAAATAATGAATGGATTGTTCTAGTTTGCTCTCCCCCCCTCTCCCCCCCAGGTATTCAACAATATGTTTTGGAGCTCTTTCTGTATTCATTTCTAAAGTTTTTTAAAAATTTTAATTCTTTTATTTTTGACCTTTGCAATGAATTCCACGTATTGCTATGTCAATTTATTTAGCCACTTCTTTACTGATTGATATTTAGGTTGTTTCCAGTTTCTCATTCTTACTAACCATGTGGTGATGAACTCTTGAGCATGCCTCTTCCAGCTAAGGGTTTTTCTAACTCCATTTCTAACTAAGGAGTGAAAAAGTTACTAGTTTTTATTCCCCTCCCAAATATACAGATGTTATTATGGATATTGAAGAGATGAATCCAGATATTCTGGGTGGGATTATTAGAAACAAAATAAGAATGATTATCATAATCTTTTATGAAACTATAGTAGCTTATTGTATTCCTGGTGGTTTCAGACATGTAAATCTGCTCCACTACCTAACAAAGTGATTAGCTTGAACAGGCCTTTTTGCCTCCTTTCTTTTTATCTGGCAGAACCTGGTATGGTGGTGAGCATATCCTGGGTCCTTTGGTGTAGAGCCCCACGGGAGGTACAGAAAAGGCCCTCTTCCTGGAGTGTGGTAGGAGGGCCACCTGTATCTCAGAACCTCAAGGCCCTGATTGATTGTGCTGGTCATGTGTCTCCCCCAAACACTGAATCAGAATATCCAGGAACCAGTGTTCTTATCAGCAAACTCCCCAAGTAATTCCACACAGACCTAGTTTGAGAACCACTGTTTTAAGGCAACCACATTGATTTCAAGAGGCCAGAAGGGCAACTAGTTGACAAACTACAAAAGGGTTTTCCCGTTCTGGTTTTTCAGGGAGGGAAAAAACTACTGCCAATGAGAGTAAGAAACTTTCTTTTGCTATCTTCTGAAAATTTTTAGATTAGTAGAATAGTTGAAAATATAGTTTTGAATGTGTTAAAATCATTGTTTGGGTAAGTCTTATATAACCTCTCCTATTATCACTCAGTTGTTATACATCATTACTAGGCTTTATGAGATATCTGTGTCTGTGATTTTTATCTTCTGTTGAAAGCTGATAATTACATATAACATTTCTGAAATATTATATCTATTTTCTTTTTTTCCAGGCTGCACTTTATGGATGTGGCTGCTGGGCTGAAAATACTGGAGCTCAAAATCCCTATTCCACAGCTGTGAGTACCTCAGGTATTTGCTGCTTTCATGACCATTTTTCATAACTTCAACCTCGTCAGTAATTTGATGATTAAAAGCAATATTTTTAGGTAAACATAAAGCATATACTAAGACACTGCATAGACAAGAGCATTGATGCATGAAAGATATTTAGTATTTGGGAGATCTTAAAGGATTGTTTAGCATCAGAGTGTAAATGCTTTGCTAACATTTTCAATATGACTTTGGATTTAACTATAGCTTAATTTCTTTTTAATATGTATTATTTCTCTAATGACCCATATTGGTGCCAAATTTAGATCACAAAAGATATAAAAATAGCAAGGGATTTCAAAAACAAACAGATTATCTTGAGTAAAATGTTGACATAAAAATTATAAGGTATATTTCAAAATGTATTGTTTATGATGTCCACTCCTCAAAATACACTTTTAATAAAATATAGGTCTTTTTATATCTGTATTAGAAAAGTCATTATCGTTTAGGATAAAGAGTGTGTGTGCATTTGGAGGGGTGGAGAATGGGGGATGTGGGGGGAGTTTTAATGGGCAGAATGGTCGTTGTCTATTTCCAGATTTTCATAATGCTTGTATCAGATATACCCGAAGCCGTTTCTCTTTATTTGGTGATACCTCTGCTTGTAGAGATAATATGGTTCATTCTTTTGCCGTGTAATCCCTCAAGTTACATTCTGTCCCTTTCTCTCCAACGTCCTCAGATGCTAGGAGAAGGGTAGATGGATGTGGCTGCCTTCCCTTCCTTTCTGTCTTCAATTTCTTGCCACATTGGTTTCTGCCTCAACATACTAACGAACGGCTCAGTCTGACAGCCCTCTTCTCCTGTTGGTTTCTGCCCCAACACACTGACGAACGGGTCAGTCTGACAGCCCTCTTCTCCTGTTGGTTTCTGCCCCAGCATACTAACAAACTGCCCAGTCTGACAGCCCTCTTCTCCTGTTGGTTTCTGCCCCAACATACTAACGAACAGGTCAGTCTGACAGCCCTCTTCTCCTGTTGGTTTCTGCCCCAGCATACTAACAAACTGCCCAGTCTGACAGCCCTCTTCTCCTGTTGGTTTCTGCCCCAACATACTAACGAACAGCTCAGTCTAACAGCCCTCTTCTCCTGCTTACTGCTTATTCTTTCTGTGATCTCTGATGCAGGTGATTCCTTTCTTTTTGCCTCTAGCATAGATCCTGGAACTCCCTTGGTTTGTCCTGCTTCACTGACGTGCTCCATCTTGGCTTTTTTTCACAGACTCTTCTTCATTTGTTCTCGCATTGCTAACAACTCCAGGTTTGGGGGCTGCTAGATTTTCTTCATCTTCCTATTTAAATTTTTTTTTTCTTGGTGATTTGGTGGTATTGTTGTTGTTCTCATGATTTCAGCTATTATCTCTTGAGGTATTTGCTTCCACTGTTGTATCTACTGTGGACTTTCCTCTTGAGGTCCACATGAGTTTTTGCTAACTTACTATTGGACTTGTCCCTGTGGGTGTCATGTGTGTACATCAGACTCGGCAGGTTCGATAGAACACCTTACTCTTCATTCCCACTCTGCCACCTTTCTCTGGCGTTCCCTATCTCTTTCATTGTCCTCACTATCCTATTCTTTGCTCAGACTTGAAATATTGGCACCATTGTCATATTTGTTGCTTCTTTCCATTTCTACTAACCTGACACTGTTATTTCAGACCCATATTCCTCTGCCTGCCTATTTGTAGCCGCCTCCTGACCTTGCTCCATTACTTGCATTAGTGGAAAAATAAGGTTGTGAGCAACTGGACTATCAGGTGAAGTCTAAACATGAGTTAGTGTTGAATCTAAACCATACTAATATAATTGTCAAAAAATTGTTTTTCAGTCTTTAATTTTTGAAGAGATGAGCATAATGTAATAATGTGAGTTTAATTTTTAATTTAATATTGATGGCACATGAAAATCTTGACACATAATATTTATGAATTAGCCTGTGCATGTAGTTAAGTACGGCCCTATGTCTAAAGAAAATTGTGCTATTTGAACAAACTGAAGTCTAAAATAAATTCATTGTTTCATTTTTATTTTCCCAAAGAAATCTCATTTGGTATTGTGTTCTGTCAGTTTTGTTTTTGGTCAGTATGTTGTTCAATGAGTTAGTTTGCTGTTTAGCGGTTACTCTCATATCTAGATGGTAGGAGAACTGGATTCTATTTTTAAACAAAATCCTGGGAGCCTACCTGACTGTCACTTTGGAAAAGAGATTCAGCTGCCTTGGGATTGTTAACTCCCCTTGCCCCCAGCACTTGATAGTTTTGATTCCATTAAGTAGAATGCAGTGGGTGGGTCAAGCTACAATTGCAAAATTGAGGTCTTTTCCCTTCCCCTTTCATTGTTCCTCCTTTGCCCATCCTGCATCAGTTCAAGACAGTTTTATATCACTAAAGATACTTTTAGGTTTCCAGTTCATGACATCCAGTGAAGCCTTTGTCATGATACCCACTTTGTCATGTTACCTCCTTCTCAAGTTAGAGGACTAACCACCATCAGCCCACAGAACCTGAGGATGTTAGAGTAGCTCTCCAGTTTCTCCTCTCTGTGGGACTGTGGGATTGCTTCACTCCCATTTCTCCTGGAGTTGTCACTGTGAGGTTGACAATGTAAACACATGGCAGATTGGGTCACCGAGTCAGAAGAAAGGTGGAGCACAGAATTTTGCAATTGTTTGGCCAAAATAAAGAAAACTTGTGCTTTAGGCTGTCGCAGAAAATCCAGAGACCTGGCCTGCATTTTAGGTTTATATATCTTGGAAGGTGATAATTGAAAGGCAGAGAGAAATGGTTAGTTATGTTCAGGACAGGGCTCTCTCAAAGTCAGTCAGGCGATTTGGTCATTAGCCATTTTGCAATTGTTTGGCCAAAATAAAGAAAACTTGTGCTTTAGGCTGTTGCAGAAAATCCAGAGACCTGGCCTGCATTTTAGGTTTATATATCTTGGAAGGTGATAATTGAAAGGCAGAGAGAAGATGGTTAGTTATGTTCAGGACAGGGCTCTCTCAAAGTCAGTCAGGCGATTTGGTCATTAGCCTGAGGGATAAACTCCGGCATCTTGTTCTCATCACTGGGTGGGAAAGAATGACTGGGGAGAGGGGGGCAGTTGGTGTGGCAGGAGTGGACCTTGCAGACTCTGACTAATGTTCTGGCATCATGGGAGTTTGCCTAGCTAGGGAGGGAGCAGAGCAGACACCTGGGTTTTTGTCCAGGCTCTTCCTAGCTGTGCTACCTGGGCAAGGGGTTATTTGTAAAACAGGAATAATATCTATCATTGCTGTGAGGATTGAATGAGTTGACATAGGAAGGCACTTAGTGCATTTCTTGGCCCAGAGTAGGGGCTCAGTACTTACTATATTTCACTGAATCTAAGTCACCATCTTTTATAAGATACACTGTAATTTTTATACTACTGAGAAAAAGAAAAAGGACTGCCAATTAAATTATCGCACACTTTTTTCTCATCACTTAATGCATAGTTGTTGCTTTACAAGAAAATATGGAATTGGGGATGCTCCTCCAATGAGAAATATTTGCTTCACTGATTACAAAGGCATGCCCCATTGCTCTTTCCATCCCTTTCTGCATATACAATCATTTTTAATTTCAACTCTGTGTCATACTGTAATCCTTTTGAATGCATTTTAAAAAGCAGTTTAACAGTACGTGTAGTTCCAGTATGGCACATAACTGAAGGGTCAAGAAATGGAAACAGCTTGCATCTAGAGGCAGTGGTAGCTCTGTCACCACTGGAGCCTGGAGGACAGCATGGGAGGGTGCCATCACTTACAACACACCTCCTGATTCCAGAAATTTTAAAATGTATTTTAGAATTAATAAACTGTAGTAAAAGTAAGAGCTTTTCTTATTTTCAGTTTTTTTGTGAAAATAGTTTATTTCAGGTCTTCTTGAAAAAGTAAGATAAACTCTTGAGGGAAGAAGGGATATGGGTATATTGTGTCTCCTGAGTGCCTGGCACAGAGCCTTGCACATGGTAAGTGCCTAATATACAAATAAAAATTAAGAAATGCGTGTGTGGTCTCTACCGCTTCTAGAAGGATGCTTGCTCTTTCAAGAAGATCATTCACCACGGAATTTTTTAAAATAGCATTTAAAAATATGATTCCATTTGCGAAATTCTGATTCACATAATTTTTTAGTAACACATCAGATGCATGGTGTAAGATACATCTGTGGTTTGTCTCTGGCTATGGAAAGGAAGAGCAGATTGAGATTAGAAGATCAGAAGGAGGAAAAAAAAACAAAAAAGCAGGGGATTAAGTTTATGCTCTGGTTGACCTTAACGTTGATCTTCTGTTACTTGTCTGTGTAGTTCTCTTTTTTCTTAAAGAGATATAGTGAGTCTGGGGGTACTGATGGCAACTGACTGGAGATGGAAGATGTAGGCTTCAATCCTCCTTTGTTCAAGTGTTCTGGCATGAGGAAAGATCTGCTACCTGATTTCTGGTATGAAGCCCAATGACTTCTGATTTTGTAGGTTCTTTGCTTTTCCAAGTCTTGGCTCTGGGCAGTACTAGAGACCTGAGAGCTGAGAGGGTTATGGCTGTGACTTGCCAGGAGTAGCATCAAAGGTAAATGGACAGGGTGGGGGGTGGGGTGGAGATTGAATAAGGGGCATAAAGAATAAGTACAATTTGTAATAATATATATGCTAATAGTATTGATTTGATCAACATAGTCAATGTTGAACCCCCAAAATATGTGTAATCAATTATGATTCACTAAAAAAAAAATTAAACACAAAATTGAGAACAGCCTTATGCCTTAATCATTCTGAGCTAGTGATTGGAGTCTCTTCCATATGCCACTCCTTGCTTTCTCAACCTGATGAACAGTCAAAGGTCTTCTCCTGCCCCTCTGTGGGGTATTGTCTAACGGGACTGTGCTCAAAAACTCCTGCCCAGGGACCTTTGCCAGGAGGGCACAAGACAGCTTTCCCTGACAGAGAGGAGTTACATGACAGC